AAGGTCAACATACAATCTTTTCTCTCTCAAAACATCAAAAGCCTATCATAAGTGCTCTCAATACTCTTCAATTATTTGGCTATATATAAGAATATTATCAAAATAAACTACTACAAACTTACTAATAAATGGTCAAAATACCTAGTTTATGAACCTTATGAATGTACTCGGTATGTTAGACAATTCAAACTATATGACCATCTATTCATAAAGATCATCTTGAGTTTTGAAAGTTATCTTCCACTCATCTTTAGACCTCATACAAATTTGATGATAACCACTCCTTAAATTAAGCTTTAAAAAGATTAAAGACATGTGCAATTGATCAAACAAATCATCAACTTTCAGAATTGAGAACTAATACATGATAGTAATCTTATTTATAGCTTGACTATCAATATACATTCTTCACAAACCATTCTTCTTCGAAACCAACAATGTTAAACCTATAAATGGACTCACACTTTCTTTAACTAGTCCCTTGTCTAGAAATTTAAACATTTTCCCCTATAACTCTTTATACTCTTTCAAACTCATTTTATAGATCGATTTATATAAAATCAATGAATCCGAAACAAAATCAATAGTATGTTGTATACCTGTATAGGAGGCAATCCTTTATAAATCATCATATTATCAAAGTAAAGGCTTCAACTCTTCGAGAATCTCATTTTGATCCTCATTCTCCTTTAACATAATAAGTACATAAATAGATTTAGTCTCTTCCAATATCTTGATACATATAGACTCAAAAACCACTTCTTTTTTGCTATTATTGGTGTAGGTCAAAAGTTTTCGATCTTCAATGGCATTAAGATAATTTTCTCTCCATTCAACTCAAATGAGAATATGCTTTTAAACTAATTATGTAAAACACACCTATCATACTATCACAATATTTCTAATAGGATATGACACTTATCCATGGTAATCACATCACACCAAACCTTATTTTGATACTTCTTACCAATTGAAAAATATACAAAGCACTTCTTGGATACCTTAATCTTATTACTTTTTCATAACTAAGTCTCGCTTGTTTAGATTAGGATGATTAATATTCAACGGACTCAACTTCTCTAACATCTTCGTAGAAACTATATTTTTATAGCTAATCCCATCAATAATCAACTCATATTTTTTTTTAATAAGATGTACATTGAGTAGGAAAGATGTTATATGTCAACAACTCCTCATTTGGAGTTATCTCTCGTAGTAAAGGCTCTCCGAACTACCAATAACTCTTTATTATCAACATAAATCTCCTCATCTTTCTCAAACATCTAATCATCTTCCTCGATTCCACATTTATCATCCCCAACTTTTCCCATAAAAGTAACCACCTTTCAGTTAGGGAAATTTAAAGCTATGTGGTCAAACCATGACATTTGAAACACTTTCAAAAATTATTGTTAGACTAGTTGTGATTGGAATGTTACTACCACCTAAACTCCCTTCTTCTCCTCGTCGATTCCCTTTAAGATTAGGTCTAAGAGTTTTAGCTAAAACTATTTATCTATAATTTGACTTCTTAGCCAAGGCTCTATTTCCACTTTACCTTACAAACTTTTGATGACATTTCACCTTTAATGATAGCTTAATAACATCCCGAAAAGTCCAATATTATTGCAATTATACCACACTAGCAATCTCGAGTCTAATCCCCCTAAAAACCAAGTAACTATGTACTTCTTAGGCTTATTAATACCATACTTTAAGATTAATTATTCTAATTCAGCATCATATTCTTCTATGCTTAAATTTTGTTCTTAGAAGTATGAAATTTTTTAAAAAATATCTTGCCTATAATAGTAAAAAAAATACTTATAGTTTAATACTTCTTCATTTTGTCCCATGTCGTGAATTTACCCTTGCATTACGAGATTCTTTACCTTTTCAAGTTCTCCCATTTCTTCAACTTGATGGCTAGAATCTTTACCTCTCCATTATTCAAAAGCTTTTTATAGTCAAACACCTTATCTACTATCTCGCATCTATTCAATAAAATTGTTAAGGTTTTAGTCTTCCCTCAAAGTCGAGTATAGGTACCTTAACATTAAAGTCTTGGCATGGTCTCCTTTATATACGTTCTAAGGATGCGTAAACCCTTCTTCTTCAAATGATTTGGCTTGTAGCGGATGGAAATGGTTCTCCCTTTTGAGTTTCGCTTTAGCCGTGGACGCATGTGTGTGAGTCGCATGGTCTTTCATCTCATACTTTGCATGTCTTCATTGAGCAACACTCTAACTTCCTTTCTAATTCAACCTTGGTCATTCTTGGTTTTTTTTAGAGGCATCTTTATAAATATTATCAAGGAAAAAAAAAACCAAAGCTCGATACCAAGTTAACACTAGATTTGTGAATATATAAAAAAAATCTACAAGTTTAATAACAAACCCTAGAATAAATCTAAAACTTGTTCAACAAAACAAGCCTTAGCCTTAGTTGATTTCGATAAGATTTCTAACCCCACTTCAACTTTAGCTTGATCATGATTAAATTCACTATCTTATATGATCAATCCAAGAATACGAACACATAAGATCCTAAGAAACAATACATAAGGAATAAAAAATTTGAGTGAAAACTTCTAAAGAAATTTAGTTCAATGCTAATAATCAAAGTTGTGTTCAAATCACATAAGGAAAGCTTAAATACCTAAGTCTAAATCCAACACCAACAAAGACATAAAAGGAGCAACAATTTACCCCAACAATCCTAAGTCTAGAAGCACACAGTAAAGGTAAAAAATTATCAATCAAATACGAAAAAAGATTCAATCCAAAGAAAAAAGATCTAAAAATAAACATCTAATATAATAAAGAAATCTAAAATTAAGATAGAAACTAATAAAATAAGAAAATAACAAGGAATGCAAGATAAATTTACACAATGTGTGCAAGTAGCAACAACAACGATGAGGTGCCGATGGAACGTTGTGCGACTAAATAGAATTAAGGTGTCTTATATCATCTATTTATGGATGGGTTTTGGGAGGGATATGTTTTATATTGGTGACAATTAGACTGTTAGGATTGATTATCCGGTAGTTTTTTAAAGGTAGTGAAGTTTAATTAAGTTTATATTCTATGAGTGAAGGAAAGTCATATTGGGTGGTCAATACACAGTTGAGTTGTAGGAGGTAAAAAAAGATTATTACTCGCATTAAGATTAGGACAATAATGAGAGATAGTTAGACATAAGGGCAAATATTGGTGGGCTATCATGTACCATGACCTTTGTTAGTTTAGGATTTAGGGTAAATAGCTAAGATTGATATTGGTAGTTATTTCTTTGGCAATGCTATAAGGGGCAAAGGGCTTTCAATGATGTTAGTGGAGATAAATTAGTGGGATCAATGATTACAACAATATTGGTTGATTAAGGTTGCAAAGGGAGTGGAGATGCAAGTTTTAAGGCTTGTCACAACATGTTTTTACCCTTGAATTTGCCAAAAATCCAACGAAAAATAACAAAAAAAAAAAAAAACGTTTTGCACGATACTTCTAGTTTTTATTTAATTTTACTTATTTTATAATTTTTTTATGGTTTCAAAGTATGTTGGCATTTTTTTCTTAATTTTGGACATGCAATGGGTAATATATATATATATATATATATATATATATATATATATATATATATATATATATATATATATATATATATATAATGGGTGAAAATAGAAGAAGGGTTGAAACATTGAAAAAAGAATAAACATAACCAAGGTCCAAGGTGGAAAATACGACGATAAATAGGGATAAACTTTAATCTTTTTTGTCTTTCAATAAACAAAATGGTGTCATTTTTTATGGATCGAAAATGAAAAAAATATTAAGGTAAGGCTAAAATGGCGAGATAAAGAAAATATAAAGGCAAGGTTGAAGCCTTGCATATTGTTGTTCTCCTTTCTTCTTCCTTCCCCTTCTTTCTCATAACTTCCAAAGTTGGTCATCCCTCAATTTGGTCCATTTTATTTTTTAATTTTTCAATCGAATTTCTCACAACTTCTTAAAAGAATTTTTGAGGTAGGTCGCCTCTTAACTTGATCGAAAACTCTACAAGAATTTTCAAGGTTGGTTCCTATCAAAAAAATTTATGAAGTAGGTCGCTTCTTAACTTACCTAGAAATTCGAAGAATTTATGAGGTAGGTCACTCTTAACTTGACTCGAAAGTCCAAAAAAAAAAAAATCGAGGTAGATTGTCTCTCGGTTTAGCCTATTTATTTTAAATCTCCAAAAGAATTTTTAAGGTTAAACACCTCTCAAGTTGACCTTTCTTGCCCTTCACTTTTTGAAAAATTTCAAACTCTTATTTATAAGCTTATTAAACTAAACCAAGGAAAAAATTTTTCATTGATTTTGTATTGTAATCATTGTAAAGAAAGAATACTTGTCATAACTTATTTTTTGCTCTTGGATTTTACAAAACATATTACCCAAAAAAAAAAAAAACACTACAAAAAATACATTTTGCATGATTCCTCTAATTTTTCCTCAACTATGTGATTGTTTTTAACTGATTTGTAGTCCTCACGTGTCTAATTTTCTTGTGTATTGTACTTGACATGATATTAGTTTAAATTAGTCTAAATGAATAAGTTTAGGATTTGAAACTAATTTGATTCCAATAATATAGTTTTCTTTTAATATATATATATAAGAAAACAGTTACAAAAAGGAAGTTAGGAAAAAATCCAAGCCCGAAGAATCTTAATTTTATTAGTAATTATTATAGGACCGAACCGAAACGTAGGGCAGCAAAATACTAGAACGGTTGAGAAATCAGACAAACCAATCTCATCAAGGGGTTCTACGAAGAGAAAGAATCTTCTGGAAGCTCAATAGCTCACAATAAAACTAAACCCTAGTTCTCCCTTGTCTTTTGCTTGCTTTCTCTTCTCGTTTTTGGCCTCCTTTTCTTATCCACATCCACACTCACCATCACCCGTTACAGAATAAGTATAGGTTTTTTCCTTTCTTCTTGAAACAATAATAAAATGGCAACATCTAATGCTCTCTCCACAGCTTCCATTCTTTGCTCTCCTAAACAGGTACGGTTCTTATACCTTTCTTCTTTACTTTTTCCCTCCTTTGCTGGGCTGCCTTTTTTCTCAGAAAATGGTTCATCTTTTTATTTGGTTTGAGTTATTGATAGATTCCTTTCGGTGTGAATACTGTGTTTGTAGGGAGCGTTGAGGAGGAGAGGGAATCAGCAACACAACTCAAGGCTTAATTATGGGCAATCAACCAGAAGATTCGCAGTGCGAGCAAATGCAAAGGATATTGCATTTGATCAGAACTCCAGGGCTGCACTCCAATACGGCATTGATAAGCTTGCTGATGCTGTTGGGCTTACTCTTGGTCCTAGGGGTAAATTTGTGTAGCAATATTTATCATATCATATTTGATAGTCATGATTATTAAATAGAGGTATATGAAACCCTAACCAAGTAATTAGGATATTAGTTAAAATGGATTGTGAACATAATTTTCTATACCAAAAGCTAAGCCTTTCTTCTTATCAGTTTCAATGTTTATTTGTGAATACAAGCATGAATTGGTATATATGTGTTTAGAAATTGAGGTGAAATGATAGATAGAGTCTGGTTGGTATTATAGTGGATCAGTGCGTACTCAGTTTTTATAGAATTGCAGAAATGAAAATTTGTGGTTATTTCGAAACGTATTGAAGAATTCCAAGTTGGTTGTATTGAAATGTTTCCCATGCTGTTGTCACCTTGTGACGCGCCAGAAGACTTGTTTGTTGAGTTGTTCTGTATGCAGTTCAGAAGGTTATGCACTAAAAAGAACCATATAAACGTTTTCTTTGCAATGCAATGCTATTGTAGTTTGTCAACAGAAGTACAGGTGATAATTTTCTCTTAGCAACTATAGAAATGCTTGCACGTATTTTTCTTTTCATGCATGGTAAATTTTTCAAACTCTGCCTGTGGCTTAAGAGTACTTTCATTTTGTTTTCTGCAGCTTTGTATTGTTAAGTGAAATCTTTCAATTATCACGAAGTGCATTTTGATATTAAAAAAACCACCCAGCCACACACACAAGATATGCTAACTGCCAAGTTTCTTTTGTGCATTTCAGGGAGAAATGTTGTCTTAGATGAATTCGGAAGTCCAAAGGTAGTTAATGATGGGGTAACAATTGCCCGGGCTATTGAGCTACCTGATCCCATGGAAAATGCTGGTGCAGCGCTCATCAGAGAGGTTAGATTTTTATTCACGTCATTCTTGCCCAATTCGAAATTTAGGTTGCTCTTGGTCTTACCATTCCTTTATAATATACAACTCAATTCTACAGTTGACTGAATAATGACTTGCAATGTTGGGTTTGTGGGTGAAGGTTGCAAGTAAAACAAATGACTCTGCTGGTGATGGAACAACAACTGCTTCAGTTATTGCTCGGGAAATAATCAAACTAGGACTTTTGAGTGTCACCTCTGGTGCAAATCCGGTTTCTATAAGAAGGGGAATTGATAAAACTGTGCATGGCTTGGTAGAAGAGCTAGAGAAGAAGGCCAGACCTGTTAAAGGTCGTGATGACATTAAAGGTATGCACTGCTGCTAGACATTTTTTTGTTTCCATTGTTTCAAGAAAGTCTACTTGTTCAGTTATTTTCTCCTCTTTGATTATTGATTTATTTCTTGTTCTGTTTCTAGCTGTTGCGACCATTTCTGCTGGAAATGACGAGCTCATTGGCACGATGATTGCTGATGCAATTGACAAGGTTGGGCCTGATGGTGTTCTATCAATTGAGTCATCGTCTTCCTTCGAGACCACAGTTGAAGTTGAAGAAGGAATGGAGGTGTGAATTCTTTTCTTTGCCTCAATTTATGAGTCACCATTATTAGCTTCAAGCGGTTTGCTCGTTATTCATAACCCTTAACAATTTGTTTCTTGCATGTTACTCGTTCATATTTTGATTTCAGATAGACAGAGGTTATATTTCTCCTCAATTTGTTACAAATCCCGAGAAGTTAATTTGTGAATTTGAGAATGCTAGAGTGTTGGTTACGGATCAGAAGATTTCTGCAATCAAAGACATAATTCCCTTGCTAGAAAAAACCACTCAATTGAGAGCTCCTTTACTTATAATTGCTGAGGATGTCACTGGTGAGGCTCTGGCTACCCTTGTGGTGAACAAATTGCGTGGTGTCCTTAATGTTGCTGCTATCAAGGCTCCTGGTTTTGGTGAAAGGAGGAAAGCTATGCTTCAAGACATTGCCATTTTGACTGGTATTCTGTATTTTATTGAATGATTATGATTTCTTTCTTGTTGCTAAATTATTGTGTCACCTAAACCATGCTCACTTATTTTTACTGCTATGCTATAATTGTTCAACTGTTGTGTAAATTTGCTAGAAGTATCAATTTTGCATCCTTTAGAAAAAATAATGCAGAGGCAAGAAGGGGGATTTGGATTATCCACAATTAGTAAGAAAAGTTTACATGCTGAACTAAGTTCCAAGTTACTAATTTTTGGAGAACACAAACATGCAAGCACGTGTCTATTGAAGATTGGTTAGAGATTATTAACTGTGAACAACAGACAATTTGATTGCTAACATAGTGATGCTTGACATTTCCATTCTAAATGCATGGTTCTGAGGTCCTGTATTTTTTTTTTTTTGTTCCATATTGGTATGTGTGTGTAATCTCCTAAAGTATGAAAGATTTTCACAATTATTCAATGAAGGGTAGAGAAGCTGAGAGGCCTTTTTGCTTGTACATTTTCATTTCACTTGAACTATTTGTGAATTTTTTGTCGTTGCTAATCTTTTAGCTTGTTTCCCAACATTTTAGGAGCTGAGTTCCAAGCCAGTGATCTTGGTTTGAACATTGAAAGCACATCAGTGGAGCAGCTTGGTTTGGCCAGGAAGGTTACAGTCACCAAGGATTCCACCACCATCATTGCTGATGCTGCATCAAAGGATGAGTTGCAAGCTAGAATTGCACAGTTGAAAAGAGAGCTGTCTGAGACTGATTCTGTGTATGACTCTGAGAAACTGGCTGAAAGAATTGCCAAATTGTCTGGTGGGGTTGCCGTTATCAAAGTGGGTGCTGCAACAGAGACCGAGCTTGAGGATCGTAAACTCCGCATTGAGGATGCCAAGAATGCAACTTTTGCTGCCATAGAGGAAGGAATTGTGCCTGGTGGTGGTGCTGCGTTGGTTCATCTCTCAACTCATGTTCCTGCGATCAAGGACAAAATTGAAGATGCAGAAGAACGGTTAGGTGCTGACATCGTGCAGAAGGTAATAGTTTGTTGTCTTGTCAATACTCACTAGACTTACACGCTAGTGAAATCAGGTTTTAACATTTCCAAAAAAGTTGGTAAGTAGAATTTAATCATCCAGAAGGTACTGATGACCCAAGTTCTTTGCATCTAGGCACTGGTAGCCCCAGCATCATTGATAGCTCAAAATGCTGGAATTGAAGGTGAGGTAGTTGTCGAGAAGCTTAAGGCTAGTGAATGGGAGGTTGGCTATAATGCCATGACAGACAAGTATGAAAACTTGGTGGAGGCTGGAGTCATTGATCCGGCAAAGGTGACAAGGTGTGCTTTGCAGAATGCTGCATCTGTAGCTGGAATGGTCCTGACCACCCAGGCCATTGTTGTAGAAAAGCCCAAGGCCAAGACACCTGCAGCTGTTGCTCCACAGGGTCTTACTATCTAATGGTAGGAATTTTAGCCTTTGTTAGGATTTCAAAGATGATGAGTGTTTTTTGGCTGCATATTTAATGGATCAGTGCTAGATATCGGTGCACTTATTGTACGGTTTAGTTATATTATTTTTTATAGTGCATTGCATCTTGATCGTTGTCTCCGAAGCGTATGGTACACCTTAGGGACTTAAAAACTGTTGTTAACGGTGTTGCATAAAAGTACTAAAATTTAGCGCGCTGTAATAACATCTGCTGTATCTACCTGCTGGTGTCACAAGCCTTAGTATAAAAGATTTCAAAATCATCACAATCCTCTCTTTTTATTCCTTTCATTTCTAATTTTAATTTCTAGATTATTATATGATGGTTTTGAAACTTTTAATTTATGTAGAAATAGAAACACATACATTAGAAACGCCATCTCCTGTGTCAGTGGAAAGGAAGCTGATCTTAACGCTGTATGGCCCCAAGATCTAATTCGTCTCAATGAGGCAATGCCGAGAGCGACAGAATAGAGAAAAGACGAGTTCTTCCATATGAATCTTGTTGATTTAGTGGGAGAGATTCGTTCAAGTTCCCCAAATCCCGATAAGAAAAGCTGTCTAGAAACGCAGTTATTGAATGAAAGGACAATGCCAAAGCGCTGGTGAAAAACGCTGTTTTTTTTAATCTTTATAGTATATACTTTTGAGAAACTACCCGCTATATATAGACACACACACATGATGACGGAAATTAGCAATGTCCTCATTTTACTATCATAAACTAAAGCATTTAGAAAACAACAAACACTTGGTGGAAGGACTAAGTCCTCCTGGGCTAAGCGAAGATAGAGCGCTTTCAGTTCCACTTAGGCCCTGCTTTTTCAAACCTTCAGTTGGTACTTGCAAAGAACAAGCAAAAGCAAGAGGGAATGGTGAAGACCGATGTTAGCGTCACTTGGCTTCCCAGAGAAGATATTGAAAGGATATAGTCAGGCTTAATTACACCATCGATTCCCCAAAGTGTTCAAGCAAAAACAAAGGCATTCGTTGGCTCCTGAGATGCTAAGGATCGAAGACTTTTTGGATATGGATCGGCTTGCCAGACGTAGTGTGAGGCGTCGGGGAATAAGGTTGCCACTGACAGAATCTCAGTGAAAAATAGAATATAACGACCAAGTAAAGAGTTTCGTCCACCTGTTGGTTCGCAATCACAAGGCAGCTAGAGTGAGCTGCTAGCAGGCTAAAATTTACGATTCGAGAGACTACCAGAGATCTCGTAGAACAACTCTCAACGAAGACATTGAGATTTTGTGAAGGCTTAATCGGCCTTTACTAAAGATCAAGGAGCTTATTAGCTGGAATACAACTAATAAATAATTTTTTTTTCTTTTTCAAATTCAAGTTCGACTCCGAGTAGATTTTTAGCGCAAGCTCTCGTTAAGTTAGCACCTTATGTAGTATATATTAGATTTTTTACTCATAATCGGACAAAATATATAACATTATTTTTAAAAAATTATTTTATTTTGATATTTCATATTATATTGTATCTACAAAAATATATTAAATAAAAAATAAATAAAAATTTATTCAATTTTATAATTTTTTAATCAAAATTTTATATTTAAATGACTATTTTTTATATCTTTTATAAAGTTTTTATTAAAAAACATTATTTATTTATCTCTATCTACAAACTAAAATTTTTTTAATAGTATAAAGAATATCAAAACCAATGAATTCTTAGCTAAAAACTTATTTTGTAATTTTTTTTAAAAAAATTGTCTTAAATTTTTTGGTTAAAAAAATTAGAGAAAAAAGGATCAAAGTGACCAAAATAAAACAAAAAGAGAGATCAAAACCAAACAAAAAATATTTGTGAATTGAACAATATTTATAAAAAGGAATAGAGTATAATGTTAATAAAACTTTCCTCAAATTTTTTGATTAAAAAACCCGAGAGAAAAAAGATCAAATTAAAATAAATAAATAAAATGACAAAAGTAATTAAAATAAAACAAAAAAGAGGGACCAAAACCAAACAAAAAATATTTACGGATTGAAGAAATAATATTTAAAAAAGAAGAACCAAAGTGTAATATTATGAAAACTTTCATAATAAATATTTTAAAAATATTTAAAAACTATAAAAATACCACTACATGGTGAAATAAATAATACATCATAAAATGAATAGTGCATTTAAGTATGTGTGAATAGTGTATTTGAGTATATATGAAAAGTGTTTCAAATAGTGAATGAATAATAATCTAATATTTTAATTTAGTTTTGTATATAATATCGCCTTTCAATTATTTTAGTGCGCACTTATCTTATTGTGTTAAAAAAAAAAAAAAAAAAAAACACTAAGCATACATTGCAAATTGGAGGGCCAATCTTGAGAATCGTATCAAAGACCGAATTGCTATTAAATTTAAAAAATTATAGAATGATAACATATTAAAAAAATATTTTATTTTAAAAATTTTGACATACGACATAAAGTATCTACAAAATTTTAAATTTTGTTAAGGTGACAAATTAAAATTTTTATTCTTCCAAATTTTAGATATAAAATTTTTAAAAATCTAAAAATCATTAAGCATGCTTAAATTTTTTTTATAAAATTTTAATTCAAAAAATTAGTCTCAAAATTAAAACGGTAAGTACTGGTTCAAAATTGAAACTCTTTGAGCGTTGAATGGTCAAGATCTTTTTCTCTTGTTTTGGGATCGACATGGTCCAAATCAAATTATAATCAACACTGGGTCAAATTAGTCTGGGCTGAGTCAATTGTAAAATCAACCTGTCTTATTTAATACCGGCTAGCTGCCGCCTATAATTCTTCATGGGATGTGTTCGATTTTTTGAACGCCAGCCGCCTGCCGCCTGCTAACAAGATATTTTCCTGCTTTTTGGTTGATTTGATGAAAGCGAGCTTCAATTCATCATTATAATGCATGATGATTCAATAATTGAAAGATTGATGCAACATTTCATGAATTTTTTCAAATCCTTTTCTAATCTTTTAATGATGACTCTATTATTATTATCATCATCATTTTATAACACGTTACTAGTAGAAAACTTGACTACGTATCGCTTCGTTAGCAAATTTAATTATTTTATTTTCTCCTCACTTGACCCGATTACAAATTGCGGTTAGGGCAAGTCGGGATCGATTCCACAAAGAGATGATTCAATCAATGTCTTTTTTCTTTTGATTGTTTCAAAGTGACGTAAAAGAAATGAGGGTTTTTTGTTTGTTGTAAGGAGTACGGAAAATCAAAACTAAGCAAAGAGATAAATAATAACAATAGAAGCCTTGGTTGAAGGTGGATCTCCATTTTTGGTTCACTTGTTGATCATCGATTCACACATCAATCCACTCTCATTATGAATATCCACCGTAAGACAACTACATGTATGTTATCACTAATCTTTTCTTAGTGATTTATTAATCAAATAGATGATATTTGATTAATCCATAACTATTGAATAACCTAGTAGATACTAGATAGATTTAATCCAACAACACCATTACTTGATAGAAAGATAGGTGGAGCTAAACAACCCTCCCGACATTAGAAGAATTTAATCTAGTTTTATGTTTTTCAAAATATGAAACAAAAACCCATTTATAATAATTAACCCTTAATAAATATCTCAAGCAAGTTTTGACAAACAATTACGGACTTGAATACTTAGCTAGTAATAGATTAAAATGATTAACTAATTAGCATGCACTATAATCAATCAACCACATAATCATATTCAAATAAGATAGAAAAAATAAAATAATCAAAAGAATAGGATTAGAGATAAAATCCATTTAGATCTCACAATAAGTTACACCAAAAGCTTCAACTTTTCCTTCAACTAAGAAAGATTTTTAGGGACACATGGTTTTCTTATGAGAGAGCATTTTTTCTATTTATGGTGGTCTGCAAGAATGGAGGAATCCCTAAAATGAATCCTAACTTCTCTATTTATAGAATAAAATAGGGTTACATCACACACATGGTAGCCTAACATAAACATACGACTTGTTTAGAGAAGGAACACGGTTTGCTCTTTTGTTTCAATGGTTTGGAGCCTTTGAGAACCGATGGCATAAGGCTTGCTAGACCGAGGCACACGGTTGTGCCTAATTTGCTCTTCATCCTATATCCTTCAAACCGTGTGCCTTTTTTTCTCCTTAGGAGACATCTCGGCCTTTACACATACACGAGAGTGTCACTTTTCTTGCTTAAACCGTGTTGATTACTATTACCCGTGTGTCTTCTTCATTAAGCATCCACACGGTTTTCTTCTTTGTTTCACACGACCAATTGCTTTTTCCTTTTATAGGTTAGATGGTTGTGTGACTTTTTTACTTCTTTGGTGGTTTTGGCTTCTTACGCATTTTAGTTTAGGTTTATTGATTTCGATTTGTCATCTTTCCTATAAAAATCCTAATTCATTAACTTGTTCTTATTTACCTTAATATAACATAAAAAATACTAGTATGTTTGATGTAAAAAGGCATAAAAGCTCTATAAATTATGCATCTATCAAATACCTCCACATTTAAATTTTGTTATTTCTTGAGTAAAACAAACAAAATAAAAACCTAACTCACTTTCATAGAAATCATGATTGCTTCAACATATGCAATAAGCATTTAAACCCTTAGGTTACCCCTAATAAATGAGTTGTGTATCATGAGCATTTTCGAAGATAAACCCATAAAATCTTAAATGAAAGTCATGCCAATATGCTTATCCTTCAAACATTGATTATTGATTCAAAATTCAATAAAATCAAACAATAAAATCAATTATGTTTAATGATATTGTGTTCATGTCTAAGCATGTCTCTAAATCGATTTGTGTATCTTTATAACCGGCCATAATTCGAGCATGCAATACCTAATTTACCCTTAAGTTTTTTCACTACTGTAAGCAAAAGTAGTAAATCAAAATTTCCTTTAAATTTTTTTTTATTTTAGCATTCCAATCCCTTTTTAAAGCGATCACTCACTTTTT